CGTAACCTCCGAAGTCCTATCCCTACTAAAGCGTCTGCAAAATTCAATGTTCAAAATCCCCAATTAGGAAAAGGAAACTCATGAAAAAACAAAATCAAGAAAATTCTCCTCAAGAAGTAAGTAATCAAGAAGTAGGTAATCGAGATATAGGTAATCAAAGTATAGGTAATCTAGATGTAGGTAATCAGGATATCGCTAATCAGGATGTAAACATTAATGACTATTGGATAATTGGGTAGCCGAAAACGGTACCCTGAGACTGAAAGTTTTCAGATGATTTTAGTATTGATAATGGTAGTGATGATGATGGGAGTGTTATGGATGACTATTTGAGTGAAGCAAGCCTAACGCTTATAAAAGTTCCTAATGTGAGAATTTTGGGATCCGGGCCGTCCGCAGACCTACCAGCCCGACGGCCCTGATTGCCCCGCGATCTTAAGATTTTAAGATCACGCGGCGACCTCTACATCTCATAAGTGGCCACGGGTTGGCTGGACAGGCTTCATAAGAGATTTACCGTAGGAGACTATTGATCTTGATTGGGCATAAGGACCATGGTAACTGCGGACCCGGAGACTGGACACTTCCGGACTGTCTCTCGGACTGTCTTCCGAACTAGTGTCTGGACCGGTCCGGACTGTCCGATGATCCGGACATCACCGGACCCGGACAGTCCGGACCGATGTCAGGGGGTGCAAAATGTCCGCACCACAAAGAAAAACAAAACGGGGGGTGGAGGGCGGTGTTGGCAACTTGGCAGGCACTCACCTGCTTTGCACCTGGTAGTTCAGCCAGCAGAGCACCTATCTTGCAGCAAATCAACAAGCACATTCAACTAGCAGACATGCAGAGTTGCAAACAGTGCAAAGCAGGCACAAGACTAAAGAAACAGCGAATTTTGTTTTGAAAAAAGTATGATTAACTTTGAAGTTTGAACTTTGCAGTTCAATTCAGAACGTCAGAGTCTTCAGACTGCCAGCACTGTCAGTGCTCTCTCTCTCTCTCTCTCTCTCTCTCTCTCTCTCTCTCTCTCTCTCTCTTCCCCCCCCCCCCCCTTCCCCCAATGGGCAGCAACGGTGGGTGGCACGTCCAAACAGCCGCTTTGAAATTGCTCGGGCCTGTGTGAAACTCGTCACCCCTAAAACCTGCAGTGTCTTGTGTCCGGACCTCTAGGCCCTGTCCGGTGGGGTGAAATGACACTGAAAAATCACCCCGTTATTTTTCAAGGAGCGGCCAGGACCCGAAAAACGTCCTGGGCCGCACCTTTTTTTTTTCAATTTTTGCCCTGGGGGCCTCCATCCGGACATCACGGACCGGACACCGTATTCGGACATGTTGTTCAGGACTGTTTGGAACCCGGTCTGGACGTCCGGTCGGTTACCATGATAAGGACTTGTACTTTTTTTCTCTTGGGAGCGTCGTAAGATTCATGTCCCAACACTTTATCCCATCGGTTCATTACCCTTGGGATCAGGGTATTTAGTGAGTGGCTTACTTCTAAGTAATCGGTTGTAGGAATAGGAATCAGACTACTACGCATATCACTATTGACTGGCTATCTGGGTCCATATTAATCAATTTAACAGAAGTTGGCTGGGAGGTGACCAGGGTGGGAGGCTGGGGAAAGTAATTTGGGAAGGTGGTCACGCAAATGCTCTGGAACCTTTAAAAGAAATTACCGGCTTGTCTTTAAGGATTGGACTACTGTTGATCCCTCTATCCCTCTAAAGCCCATGTCTGAATTTCCTGATTTCTTCCCCCCCCCCAAGTAATTGTCTCGTGCCTGTTGCTTGGTTTGGATAGACATCTCCAGAGTTGTAAGGGGGGAGTTATTTGATATAGGCTCGATGGAGATAACTGGTAATGTGCTTGGTAGTCAAGATTATTTGGCGCCCATTAAGGGTGAAGAGGCACTAAGCTAGATTTGTTGGCTCATATTCTGTTCTCAGCAGGTTCCTTTAGGTTAYTTCCGGGWAGACTGTGAGGACCCCGRCCTCAATCATTATATTGGTAATATCAGCCTTGGGCACTGGGCCCGTTTAAAAAAAAAAAAAAAAAAAAAAAAAAAAAAAAACTATTGACTGGCTGCCACAACTATATGGTACGATCAACTTCTAAGATTGAATCCTAAAATTTGTAGGACTGAATGCTGTTGGAAGACTCTCGTTGGTTATAATCCTAACACTCGTAGTTTGTGTAGTTGAAAAACATCCAATATCTGTCCTTCTGGGTGACCTGTATTGTCACTCTTGGGAGAAGCTTCAATGTCATAGTTGAGAGGGAAGAATGTAAGTTTTGCAGAGAACCTTGAGCCTCTGAGGTCTGAACTCCTGGACGAGCAACCCACTTCACCGGAATAGAATGCCCCATCTTTATAGTCGTTTTCGGTGCACTTCTTTTTTCTTTTTTTTTTTTTGGAACACAAGAACCCCATCTATTCTGGGGGGCAGCAGTCTGGTTGCTTATGGCCGGCAAGCATACACAGACAAAGGCTGAAAAGCACAGCAAGATAGATCAGCACAAAGGCAGGGGGTGCCAGGCCAGGCCGGCGCCTGGGCGGCCTCCGACGAGGGGACGTGATGGGTGCCACAAGATCTCTTCGATATCAACGTCTTCAGATAAGGTCAGGAGCGCAGAGTGACTCTACCTCCTCAAACCATAACAACAGAGTGCTCTTGTACTCCGTCGATATGAGCTCAGCAGGGACATAACTCAGGCAGAGAGGCCAGCGAGGTATGGAGGCCGGGATACATCTTTGCACCGGGCCAGTCGCCACCCACCTCCCCGCATGTCCCTCAGGCTGCTAGGCTCTCCTCGTCCTCCCTCACTCCCCCCCAATCAATGACTCCCACACAAACCTGTCTTTCACACCTGTCTCTTTTTTTTTCTTTTTTTTTAAACACACCCCCACCAGTGTTAGTGGTGCTGATAAGAGCAGACAGCACTAGCACTTGGGGAGAGGCTCCATCTATATGTGGGGAGCATCACCTGCTGGAAAGCGGGTCCAGCGTCCCTTTTACAATCTGAACTTGAACACATCAGAAGAAAAATTGTGGGGTATTCCTGCCAGCATTGATTACCGTGGGATCAGGGGATTGACTGAGCGGGATGTAGGGAGGAGGGAAGGGGGAACCTCTTCACCCTGAGTCAGGCGCCCGCTATTTCACTGCACGCCAGTTCCTCCCTTTTCCTCCACTTCATTGGATCTGTGCTGGCTGGAAACCCGGGTCCAGCGCCCCTAACCTGCCTGGGTGCGATGAAGAGAGAAAGGAGGGGGCCACTTGGGACCGCTTCCCCCTTTTTTTCAGCTGCACCTGCTGGAAACCGGGTCCAGCGTCCCATTATTCCTGACATACTGCTCAGAAAAATCAGGCCGCCAACAGGGTTGACCAGGCAGGGTGAAGAAAAGAAGTAGATGTATCGTTAGTGGAGTCCACCCCAGGGGGCACCAGGGAGGATTTCCATATAGTGGTGTATATGTCTGAGTATATATGTATGCATTCAGAAGCATGCGGGTGTAGGGGAGACCCGGTTAAGAGTTATAACGTTCAGGACAGGATCTCTGCCAGGGAAAGGCCGTGAGGAGGGAATGGGTCTGAAAAATCCGAGGGAGGGCGTAGCGGGAATGAGGGTTCTATGTTCGTCGTCCAGTCTTTGAAAACTAAACGGTAATCCCTTATATCTTCCAAATCCTGCTGTCCTTCTCTTCTGTCCCCGCTCCATTCCACTTTTGCAATCCATCCTTCTCTTTCTCCTCGCAAGTACCATTTCTAGTTTCTCTATCCATCTATTTGGTGCAACTTTCAGTCTAGATACAAGGATAATGACTGGGCGTTGCGTTCCATTTAGGTGAAGACCACAGTTGCTCTCCTTCCACACATGAAATCTTTTCTCAGTAGTTCTACCTGACTTTCGGGGATGCTTGTAACGATGGAGGCCAGGTTATTGCAAAGGTTATGGGAACCTTTCACGGGTTCTCTTATCTTCTTGGTTATTTGCCAGTCTCTTGTTAATTCTTCGCAGATGTGTTCAGCTTTTGAAACTCCCTGAGAGACCCAGGAGAGTCCTCGATGTTCGCTGTGAGACGCGGACCAAGAATGGTTGCCTTCATCTCTTCTTAAGGGGTCGCCGAATTGCAGATGTCACCTCTTCCTTGCATTTAGGCTTACAGGATTCTTCAGGCAAAAATTTTGTCCCCCTATTCTCATTACTGCTGTCCAATAGGGCAGGGGTTGTGGATTCTGGTCGGGATTGCGATCAGGACACCCTTGGTTGTTTTCTTCTTCCACATTTGGGGGCTCCAGTCTCTGTTCATCACCCAGAAGAGGCCACACAAGTTGGGCCAGGAGGATAGGGGTGCTATTCATTGAATATTATCCTTTGCAAGCAAGTTCCCTGGACGGTTTGGTTGCATAAAGAGCTTACTGATCCATTTTATCTGCAAAAAAGAAAAAAGTCTGCAGGATCTTTGCTTCTTGCTCAGGATCGATCGTATTTCCCCCCCCCCCCTGCTGTCAGTTTCCTTGTGATGGAATGCCAAGCTATCTTTGGTTATGGTTTTCTTTAATAGTCTTTATTACAGTTCACTGACTAAAGATATGCTCTGGCCTTTTTGTTCATTTGGGAGATGGACCGGTCTGGTAGGGTCCGAACTTTTTTTTTTTGATACTACATGCCATAGCCCACAAATAGACCAGGAGCAACCGACAGGGACTACTGCGGGAAGGGGCTCTTACACCCCCCCCCCCCCCCCCCAGTAGAACCAATCGTTAAAATTTAAAATTCAAAAAAAAAAAGGCTACCTAGGAGTGAGGTGTCATCTCCTCCCCCCCCCCCCTTTGAAACTAAACTGCTAGGCTGACTGTTGGGAGTGGAGTGAGGTGTGTACCTAGGAGTGAGGTGTCATCTCCTCCCCCTCCCCCCCCTTTGAAACCAAACTGCTAGGCTGACTGTTGGGAGTGGAGTGAGGTGTGAAGGGTCATCTTTATTTATGTCTATCCTGGAAAATTCGATGACCAGTATCTTTCTTTTATTCACCTGGGAGGCTGGGGAATAAGAAGATAACCAGTTTCTTCGTCTCTCTATGTCCTTGCTCGATAGGTTGAGCGGCATGATAGTCATCGGGGATGGGTTGCAACTTGCACGGCATGCAATATCAAACGGACGAGCATGCAGCTTGTGGTGCTTATCTGGTGACTCTGTCTGTTATGCCGCCACCTATAACTGTCGATCCACAGTTTGACAGTTCAAATGCTGAAAACAGCTCTGGAGAATGCCATAATGTTGGGAAGCTCTCATGCAGTATATGCTTTCACCATGAGTGGCCAAAGCTGGCCGGGCATAACAGACCAGGAACCTGGTCCAAGTTCATCCTAAGTTTGTGACTCTGTGCACGGAATAGCACAAAGCGTGCACTTCCACCCCGATACCTGAAACTGCTTGGCCATAAGAGTTAGATTGGAAGTCGTTGTCCTTCGGGAGAAGCTACGTATGGCCCCCGCGCGCGCGGAAAAAAAGGATTCGAATGTTGGAAACAGGATTGTAGAGGTCAAACCAAGTTAATGCCAAGTCTGTGATGTCGTACTGAAGAGCATCATGCAGCTTGTGCTTTCCACATGGTATTTTTGGAGCTGGTCTGTGATAAACAGATAACTGACATCATCTTGTCACTTCACCTTTTCTTGTCACTTCACCTTTTCTGATATACTCCTTTTTCTGCAGGCCTTGACGCGGGTTCCTAAACCGAGTCTGCTTTCGGGGTCCTTTTCTGGTTCATCTACGATGGTGAACTCTAGAGAATCCTCCCCTGATTGGCTACATGATTTCCAGGTCAGTGACAGACAAAAGTCTCTTCTCTTACTTCTGAGCCTGAAGCTATGCTTGAATCCTATGTAGCATCTAGTGTGAAAACTTGCGAAGCATGTCTGTCTCTTTTTTCTTGGAGAGGGGGGGGGATGCACCTTGGGACATTGAGATGCAAGAAGCGGAGTGTTGCACTAGGAAAAGATAGCTCTGGAGTCTGGACATACTGCTGTCACTGCTGTGGGGTTGCAGTTCTGACATGCTTCTCTTTCATTTTTATTTTTATTTTATTTTATTTTTTTTAACAAATAGCATGCTTCATTATATATAGAGCAAAAGGAGGCCGGGAATCCGTCCACATCTCAACCCGGAAAACGGGGGCCTTTACCCAGACTGGGCTCATACTGGAAACCGGGTCCACTTTTCTTTCAATTTTGTGTAAATGGTAGATTCTCCGAAGGATGTCCTTCAGGACATCCGTTAAAATTGGAACGATACATAGAAGATTAGCATGGCCCCTGCGCAAGGATGACACGCATAAATCGAGAAATGGTCCAAAAAAAAAAAAAAAAAAAAAAAAGATTCTCCAAAGGTCAAGTGTGTCTCCTTCTGTTGTTCTCAGAATGCTGTTTGCTGCTCTTTCTTCGTGGGCTGATGCCCGGACTTGGCATCAGAATGGTTTGTCTTCCAGAGCATCTTTGCCACAGTTCCCTTTCCGTTCCGGGCGACCAAATGAACCAGGCAGGGGTTGTGGTGAGTTGGGGGGGAGAAGGTGATGTTGTTGTATAGAGGCTGACCCCCGAAGACAGACCACTCTTTGGTCCCACCCATAAGGTGGGAAAACCACTGTTGGACTTTTGTTGCCAGCACATTTTTACACGGGCCGCTGGCCACATTGTGATAGTCCCCTAACCACTGTTGGTCTTTTGTTGCTACTGCATTTTTTCAGGGGCCGCTGGCCAGGTCGTGATAGTTCCCTCTTCGGGTATCACATGTTATTGCACTAGTTATGACTCACCTACTGTGTCATCCACAGTTTCCCACATGGGCCCCGTAGGGCCCGCTGGTAGGATTAGGGGTCCTAGAGGGATTAGCAGGGTAGTTTAGGCCCGTAGGATCTGATAGGGTTGGTTACCGGGTCCAGTTTAGGAGTGGTGTCGTTGGGGCCCAGTTAGGCCAGTAGCAGGTTGGTCCAGGCCCTGGCGTGTTTTCCTTTTAGCGCCAGGCCTCTGTTCGTTTGGGCTCCGTTTCCAGTTAGGCGCCAGACACATTCAGACGCATGCCGAGTTTGGCATTGGTTGGGCGCCAGTTTAGGCGCCAGTTTGAGGCCAGACTTCGTTCAAACCAGCACTATATATAGCTCCTCCTCCTTCAGTCCGGTAGGCAGTATTGAGTAGTCTCCAGTGCAGCGACAGCTCCATTCGAGTAGAGCAGCTGGGCGCTGCGTTAGGAGCAGTTTGAGCTTGGACTCCACCGCGCTGCAGCGGGAGTTAGTGGAGTAGAGATTGGCGGCGCCGAACAAAATTACAAATCTACCCTACCTATGTTACAGCCTCGGGTCGACGGGTCACCGGTGGCAGCAATCAGCAAGTCATGGCAGTGCTTACCTGATGATTTCCCTGCCACGCCATAGCTCCAGTTTCGTCTTCAGCACATCCATACCTTTAGTACCTGGATATACTGGTGAGAGAGAGAGAGAGAGAGAGAGAGAGAGAGAGAGAGAGAGAGAGAGAGAGAGAGAGAGAGAGAGAGAGAGAGAGAGAG